GATGCTTCATCCGAAGTGAAGACTTTTGGCTGCATTTGTTATGCCTCTGACTAGGTTGATATTCCCTTATGGGGATGCTGGCTCTTGCTTGCCAGGTCTTGCCTATGCATATGAGGATGAATCTGAAGTTTTGCCTTTGCAGTAGGCTCACTAGCGATGATCTTTCTTTTTTATTGACCCACCGGGGAATTGGTTGACTTCCCGGGGGTCAGATTTTGGTAGCCCTTTGGGGGAATGGAGTCTCGGTCCCTTCATTGATATGGGTGCGAGCTGGCTTTTGTGATGCTCTTATTCTGTTGGGGGAATGGAATTTCTTATTCCTTCTTTTTTATTGATTTTTCCTTTTTTTGAGGTGACCCTCTTAGGGAGCTAGGATTTTTATTTGATTTCACCTTTTTTGGCGATTTATCTCTTTTTTTCCGTGATTTGAAATTTGGCTTTTTCGGGATAATGCGTAAGCCTTTTTACTTTTTAGTTTCTTTTTATTACGCTGGCTTTTTCCTTCTTTTTGGGGGGTCTAATAGGGATGACGTTTTCTTTCTTTAGTAATCCACCAGGGAATTAGTTGACTTCCTGGGGATCTGATTTTTCTTTTCTAGGGATGGAGTCTTGGCTCCTTGATTGATGTTGATGCGAGCTATACTTGTGAAGCTCTTATTTCATTGGGGGATGAGAATTTCTGATTCCTTTTTGTAGACTTTTTCGGAGATCCACTTGAGGATTTTTATTTGGCCTTCTTTGTCATGGCCTTTTTTGTCATCTGCTGGAGATGAAGGGTTTTCTTTTCTCTTCTTTTCTCTTCTTTCTTTTTGTTGAGCCCTTGATGGTTTGGACTCTTTTGACTGTTGACGATGATGGGCTCTTGAAGCCTTTATTCTCCATTGGGGAGTGTGGAGGAGACTTTGGGTGAGTGTGCTCAATGACTTATGTAGTGGCGATGCTGAGTCGTGGGGTAATATTTATTTTGCCTTTGGAGTAGGCAAGGATCCGCTTGGGGATAACTAAGCCTTTCTGTCGGCTTTTCTTTTATGATGTTAGATGATTGTGCCCTCTTTTATTGGGTAGAAAAATGTGTAAGAATTAATGGTTGAGTTCAAGAGGGGGGGGGGATGAATTGAACTTTAGAAATCTTTTTCGAAAAACACTCTTTCTTAGTGGAAGAATGATTAATCTTTATCCAATCTTTTATTATTAGGTAGATTTGGTTTTAAACACAACAAGAATATAAACCAGAAATGAAAAGAGATAAAAGCAGAAATACAACACAAGAGTTTATACTGGTTCACTCTTTCCAAGAGCTACATCCAGTTCTTGACAAATCTGCCAAGTTCCACTAATACCAAGTGAAAATACAAACCAGTAGATATACACCAATCTACCCCAAGAACTACCTTACAACACCACAAGATAGACTCTTGAAAAACCACCCAGCAACCAAACCCAGTTATTGTAACCAATGCAGATTCAAACCCAATTTACACAATTAGAATTCGTACAAGTATATGAAAAGAATAAACCTGGACTGCAGCTTTTACAATATAGAAGTCCAGAAGCAATTTTTTTAACTCATAACTTTCCCTCTTGAAGATCTTTCAACAATCTTGATCAAAACGCCTTATAATATGAAATGTTTATGAATGCTCAGATAAAAACACGAATATGAGAGCTCCAAGATTGCTTTCAATCATTTTCCAAATTGTGTATTTGAAAGAGAAATCAAAACTGTATTTATAGAGTAAAAGAGAGAGACTAATAGTTTCAATCGATTTAAAATGATGTTTCAATCGATTGATTTCATTTAAAACTCATTCAATCGGTTAATTCGAGCTTTTAATGGATTGAAATTGTTAGAAGAAAAATGGTAGCTCTCTGTTTCAACAGATTAAAATATATTTCAATAGATTGAAATTTTGAGATACTTAAGAATGAAAATGATATCTCTCTGTTTCAACAGATTGAACTTGATTTCAACAGATTAAAAATCAGAGATACTTTAAGATAAAAAATGACATCTCTCTGTTTCAACAGATTGAACTTGATTTCAACAGATTAAAAATTTGAAATACTTTTGAAATGAAAAATGGCTAGAACATTTTAATCTATTAATTTCTCAATTCAACAGATTAATACTACGAAACCCTTAATATGGAAAAACCATCAAGAACATTTTAACCTGTTGATTCTATGATTCAATCAATTAAAATTTTGGCTGTATATATACATTTCCTATTTTAAGTGATTTTAAAAGGTTAAAACTGCTTTTTAACATATTGAAAAACTCAATTTGTTCTTTCAAGGCTTAAAGATTGGTTTTTCGTACAGTAAGATAAATTCTATGAAATGCAACATTTATAGGCGCTTATCATAAGATCTACTGAAATTATCAAGAGATAAAATTCTAAACCTATAACCTATACCTACACACCCACAAAATAAACTCTATAAACTCTACATGTCTTCATCAAATCCAACAAGTACTTCAATCTCCCCCTATTTGATGGAGACAAATAACCACTGCACCTGCATAAAAGAAACAATAACAGAACAAAGACATATGATTTTGTGATGTGTGTGTAGTGTCAGTATAAGCGCGAATACTTCTCCCCTTATTTGACTTCATCAAAAAGTGTTCAATTACAAGCCATAAGTACCATTTAGGTACCCAAAATTAAGACAAACAAAAAAACATAAGTGAAAGAAAGTATTTAAAAAAAAATTCACTCATCACCATCCCAGGGAACCTGATTGAATTGGAGGTCTCCAATTCTGTTGAAGATATCCTCCAGTTGATTATCAATGTGCTGAAATCTGGCAATGAAGTCTTCATAGAGCCGATGCTGGCGAGCTTGTAGAGCATATGTCATCTCCATGTGCCTCCTTTGATTTGTTTGAATTTCATTCATTTGATGTAGCATAGTCCTTTCAAACTTTGAAAGAGGCATGCCACGGTCAAGTTGTGCCACATAAGGAATCATTTCCAATGGAGACTGCTGAGCCATAACATCTTCCATAGGGTCTGTTTGTCTTACTTCAGTAGCACTTGGAGCACCAGTATTCTCATCGTCTTCCTCTTCTTCTTCTTCTTCTTCTTCTTCTTCTCTCCCAGATTCTTCTTTTGAAATCCAATCACCATCAATCTTAATGAATCCCATTTTATGAAGGATGGAGTTGTTAATCTCATTTGTGGGGCGAACAATTTTAGACAGTTCCCTTCTAAGTCAACACCAAAATGAGTTAGAAATTTAGAAATTAAGATAGCATAGGGATACCTAAAATCACTTAGCCTTTTTGCTTTGATCATATGGTCCTTGATAAGAAATACCCAGTTTACTCTGATTTTGTGGTGGATACAATACATCAGTACCAAGTCTCCTTCATTCAGTATTGCATGATTGCTCCCCCTAGGAGTAAGCTTCCAGGCCACTATGAATGCAAGGATTCTTTCTTCAAGGTTAAGCTTCCCAGTGTTGAAGGAACTCACATAGTCATGCTTATTTCTCAAACAAGAACGAAAATATTGGACTTTGTTGAATTCTTCTACATCAGAGGTATACCCTTTAGTGACTTTTACTCCTTCATCCTTGAGTTCAACAACATTTTTCTAGACAGTGGGAGTAATCTCAATTTCCACTCCTTTAACTTGAGTTTTGAGTGTAGAACCTTTAAATGACAGGTTAGTAAAGAAAACTTTGATAAGGTCAAGATAGATTCTACCATTGAGCTCTAGGAACTTCTGAAGTTTCTGGTGTTGCAGCAGCTTTCGAACCCCTTTGAACCCTTCAACATCCAACCACGAGAATTTCATAACCTTGGGAATATTAATCTATTTTCTGCTCATTTGTGAATGAATAACCCCATCTTCTCTTGATTCCCATTGAACCAGGTTTCAATGCGCCCTCCTCCTGATGTTTCTTGGACAACAGCTTAGGATTCTCCTCTGCTGAACTTCCTCCTTCCAGATTTGGTGCGCTTGAACATGATGTTTGAGAGGTGAACCGAATACAGAAAAGAGAGAATATTTTTCCACAAGATTTTCGAATCAACTATTGCATACTAAAAGGAATGGGAGAAACCAGACTCTTCATCTACTTTGAATAGTCAAATTTGTCTTTTAGTAAATTACCTCAGTTATGTTCCTTGTGTCAGAGATGGAAAAGACAGAGAGAGAGAGAATAATGGGTACTGCAACACTCGATTACCTGCATTTCTTCACATCTGATTTCCAATCACAGTCTTTCAGCGTTTATTGGATAACCATTACATTTAAGAGAGTAGTTGAAGTTGTTTGTAGTTGCAAAGGCACTTAACTCAATCTGTAGTAAATAATCAAAAGCAAAACATACAATACTAGCCCTAGAAAAAATTAACCAATTGATTTTCCATAAAATCAATTGCTTTTCAATTAATGATATAGACGCAGATTATCAAAAGTAAAATGAATCGATTGAATCGAAGATTTAATAGATTAATTCAAAAAAGAAAACATGCAGAGCTACATAGTTATTGAAATAAATCGATTAAAAACCTATTTAGTAACTATTGTATGTTTATTTTATGCAATTGTTTGAAATAACAACTATACACAAACCCTTGCATACAATTGTTCCCCCTATACCTGGGGGCAGGTGGGATAACCTTAGGGAGTGGGTGGCATTATACGATTTGTCGTAGTGAGGGCCATGAGCCCACCGGTATGGTCAGAAACCACCACTCAAGGTGATAGCCTTCCTCTTTTGGCCCAAAGACCGACATGGCCCTAGTGCCATGCATGGTCTGAAGGCTGGGAGAGTGGGGACCCTATAATGGGGGCACCTTGGGGACCTAGCCTTGATGAGGAAATTTAGAACTACCTTGAATACGCACTCTTCTGCAGGATACCCCTACCTCGTGATTAAAAACTGCGTCCTACTATTCGCGGATGAGTGAATTGTGTGTGCATTTGTTTGTTGCATTTGATTATTGCACAGCATAACCATACAACAGAAAAATAAAAGAAAAACTCTCACAAAAATCTTTTTGCAATAAACACCCTTATCTCGGACAGTCTGCCTTTTAGCTAGCCTGGTTTCAAGTTCTTTGTAAGATAAGTAGCCACGCAGTATGACAGAAGAGATAAGAGATGCTAAAACCATTATTTTGCAATAAACCTTTTTTATCTCGGACAGTCTGCCTTTTAGCAAGCCTGGTTTCAGGTTCTTTGTAAGCTAAGTAGCCACGCAGTCCGATAGAAGAGATAAAAGGTTATAAATCAAATAAAACAAGTAAATCAAATAAATCAATTGAATAAAAGAAACAAAATAATGAATTTGAATAAAACGATTTTTGACAAAGTCAAATCATTCATATCACATCATAAGTGGAAATATGAGGAGAGAAAAAGTGCATAAAGAAAGGCATGCATAAACATCATTTTAATAAAAATCTCTCATGCATAAATGCATCCCTACTAAGGGGCATTAGATATCTCTAAGACAAAGATGAAAGAGGCCCCGAGCACATTCGTAGCCATCCACAAGGAAGGGACAAGTGTGCTAAGGTATATATGGTGACCTTCGTTATACTTGTCAAATCCATGATGGGGAAGAAACCATTCCACCAAAGTGGGTATGGCACTCCGCAAAGCGTAAGCTTTAAGGATGATACCTAAGTCATTGTCTTAGAAGATACTAATCCCATACCTATCATTCATCTCCATTAATAAAATTCATTTCAACATCTTAGAAAGTGGTTGGTCTTCCCATAATCCGAACTCATGCGCAGAAAGCTAAGGCAATGGAGCATCTGGAGGAACAAAACCGCAAACTTACCACTGAGGTTAGCGCCCTGAGAGAGCAAATGACGTAGATGATGGAGGTCATGCGCCAGCGAAACCTCAGTAAAGGAGAAACTTGTTAGAAATGTAGGCTAAGATCAAGAGGGGGGGGTGAATTGATCTTTGAAAGATTTTCGCAATTAACAGATTATCTATTTCAAAAATTAAGATTCCAGATCTGTTCTTGAATCACTCAGCAAGCAATCAAAAAATAAATGCAGTAACAGAATTAAAGAGGAGAAAGGTTTAGAAAGATATCACCAAGATTTATACTGGTTCACCCAATCCCAGGGCTACGTCTAGTCTCCAGCCAAATTCCAGCTGGGTTCCACTAGATTGAATGTTTTACAGATTACAACCTTAACCTTACACTCAATCTACCACAAGAACCTCAATTCCAGTTCCTGCACCTAACCTTTCACCAAGAACCAAATTCCAGTTCTTGACAACCTCTACAACCAAATTCCAGCTGCAGAGAAACCAGTGCCCACAATTCCAGGCACCAACAATACAGTAAAAATTGAAAAGAAACGAAAAGAAGAAACTAGAATGCTCAAACCAGTTTTATGCAATTCTGCAGGTATGTGTTTCTTCTTAAAAAAATGTTATTTGCCTCAAGAAAGGATTTCAAAGAACTTCACAAAAGCTAGCGCGAATCTTTCTTGAAAGTAGTACTAAAGCTTGCTTGATTGATTGCTTGAAAGATGTGTAAAAGATGTATATTAAAAAGTTCAAGCAACTCTATTTATATAGAAGATTTTCAAAACTTGTTGGTTTATTTAATCTGTTAAAATAATCTTTTAATCTGTTAAAAGTCTTGTTTTAATCTGTTAAAACTTCTTTTAATCCATTAAAACGTTCTTGATTATTTTCCAGATTTGTTTTAACTGATACGACAATGTTTATATCAATTAAAACTCTTTTCAAAAAATCTTCTAATCTGTTTTAATTGATTGTTTCAACTTTCAATCGATTAAAATACTGCAAAACATTTTTATAAACTTTTCCAAGTGATTTTAACTGATAAAAATACGTTTTAATCGATTGAAACGATTAGTACAAATTTTCCAAGTTGTTTTAATCTATTGAAACACGATTTAATCGATTAAAATTATTCTGATCGATCATAAACTCATTCTGATCGATCATATCTGGTTCTGATCGGTCATAAAGCCATTCTGATCGGTCATCTGATATACCAAGTGGTTTTAATCGATTATTTCGAAGTTATATCGACTAAAATACTGAAAAAACACTTCCCTGATCTTTTTAAGTGATTTTAATCGGTTATTTCGAAATTGTATTAGTTAAAATACTGACAGAAAGTTTTCAACACTTCTTTTAATGAAAATAATCGGTTATTTTGAAGTTATATCAGTTGAAAACCTGTTATAGAAGTGTGAAGAACATTTTAGTTGATAAACCACATATACTATCAGTTAAAATAGTTGTTTAAAAATCCTTTTGTCAAAATGCTTTGTTTTTAATCGTTAAAACATTTTTTAGAGGCAATTGCAAAATCTTTTAAGTGAAGAAACCCCATGCAGCAGAAAAGATAAAAATGATTATACCTAAGCAGAGCTGCAGACACACTAATCCCTCTACTCTTTTATCTAAGTGACTTTTGACTGCTACAAAGTTTCCTTTGACTTCATCTTTGACTTCATCAAATCAACAAGATCTTTGCCAAAGTAAATAAGATCTTCATTACTTTCAGTCTCCCCCTATTTGATGAAGACAAACACCACTTTGAATAATAACTCTGCAAAAGAAGTCACTTGATAAAATAGATTAGTGAGTAATCAACATTTAATCATTTTCCTATTTCTCCCCCTAAATTTCTGCTTCCCTCAACTACAGAATTATTATTTCTCCCTCTAAATTGATAAAAATTAAGGCAATTATTTCTCCCCCTTTTGACTTCATCAAAAATATGGAACAGAGAGAAAAAAATGCATGATATGTATTAAGTTTTAGATTTTGAAAAATAGAAAAAAAATTGGATATGATACTTTACTCATGTAAAGATCAATCAAAGTTGATTCAAACTTATCTTCATTAACACGTTTGTAATGAATACAATTAACACGTGTAAAGATAAGGGAATCATGCTTTAGTAGCATGTTACAAGAACAACCATTAACTAAAGCCTTTAATTTTTCTTCCCAGAGTAAAAATCGATTAAAAACAGGACAAAATCGATTAAAAGGTTCATGTTTAATGGTTTTAATCGATTGAAATTATGTTTTAATCGATTAAAACAGTGATAAATTTTGAAAGTTTAGAACATAAGTTCATTTAATCGATTAATTCCACATTTAATCGATTAAAACAGTAATGAAGAATGTTGTATAAGTTCTTTTAATCGATTTAAAAGATTTTTTCTTGATTAAAACAACCAGTTTTGAAAACTAGGTAATGTTGGATGCATCTAAAATGCCTAATTCAGTGCGAATTTTGAAAAACCGTTCACGAGCAAGAGGTTTTGTAAAAATATCTGCTAGTTGTTTTTCAGTTTCTATAAAGAAGATTTCACAATCACCTTTTAAAACATGATCTCTAATGAAATGATGTCTTATTTCTATATGTTTTGTCCTAGAATGTTGAATTGGGTTTTTAGTTAACATAATAGCACTAGTATTATCACAAAGGAGAGGAATTTTTCTGAGAATTAAACCATAATCCTCAAGCTGTTGTTTGATCCAAAGGGATTGAGCACAACAACTTTCAGCTGCAATGAACTCGGCTTCAGCTGTAGAAAGTGTTAGAATCGTGCAGCGGAATGTTCGCGTGGTCGGACAAAAACCAAGAGGGGGGGTGAATTGGTTTCTTAATGAAAATTAGGTTTTCAAAATTTTTCCCCAAATTTTACCGATAAAAAAAAAACTGCGTAAATGTAAATAGAGAAGAGTAGAGAAGATTACACAGTAGGTTTATACTGGTTCGGATCAAAAGACCCTACGTCCAGTTGCTAATCACTCAAAAGAGGATTAACGCTGTCACTAAGAACAAATTGTTAAAAACAGATTACAAATCAAAGAGATAAAGTAAAGACAACACCTCTCTTGAAATCCACAAGAGATGAAGAACAGACTTTCCCTAGAGACTAGCACAAGCACACAATCCACTAAGAACTCCACTTAGTGATTCTTATCGCTTCTAGCCTCACACCAGGTTCCAAAAGCCCCCTTTCCTTGCAACAAACAGTTCTCCGGCACTCACAAGCACTTAACTTTTGTATGGAAAGAGTTGTTCATTTTTTCTGAGTGCCAAAGCAGAGTTTAAGTAGGGAAATTAGGGTTTAGGAATTGGGGATTTCGAAACTAGGGTTCTTGGTAATTGGGTTTTCGAAAATAGGGTTTGTTTGATGTTTAAAATCGGAAACAGATCTGAAATAATCGATTAAATGGAGTTTTAATCGATTAAAACAAAGCCAAATACGTCGTAACCCAATCCTCTCCGGTTTAATCGATTATTTGGTGAAATAATCGATTATCTCAGTACGGAACGGTATGTAAATAATCGATTATTTTGCTTTTTAATCGATTAAAACAGTGACTTAGTATAGAAAGTGGTTTTCTCACTGCTTTAATCGATTATTTACCTATATAATCGATTAAAGCCGAGCCTGCATGATAAATTTGAGCATTTTGAAGCTTCTAAGTTATAGACTATGTACCTGCTATCTTAGACTCTATAATTACGGACTCAATCAAACTAAAACAGAGTTATTACAATACGTAAATCATCAATCTTCAATCTTCAATACTCTAAGTCTTTAAGCTCTTGGATCATCATCAAAATCAACATTCTTCATGATCATTATTTGCAACATCAAGTCCTTGAATGTTCAACAATCTCCCCTTTTTGATGATGATCAAAATTATCTTTTTAAAGCCCTTGTAATAACCTCGCTTTATCTGTCATACTAACAAACACATTAAACATACCAGATAACATTTAATATTGAATCATAGGCTTTAAATTTTTCTCCCCTATTTTGATTATAATCAAAAAGAACTCGCAACATCAATCATAAGAGCTCCTCCTCAAAATATGCATAAGTTAGAGAAAGCTCCCCCTCAATCATAGCATGAAAGAAACATCATATTTTACAACATCAAGACAATAACAAAAGAAAATTCATCAATTATCTCTACATTAGACAACTTTAATCGATTATTTCCAAGTAAATAATCGATTATTAGAGGCATTTAATCGATTATTTCACGAGATAATCGATTATTCCAGAGGAGAATACCCTGCTTTTGGACGTTTTGAGGAAAAATAATCGATTATCACTTCCAAGTAATCGATTATTCCAGAGGTTATATTAAGTTTTTAAGGTTTTTACACATTATAACCTATGAATATCCTGCATCACGAATTTAA